TCGTCATTTCCAAAATAGGACCGTGGACGTGGTACATTCTAGACTGTCCATTAATGTATTATCGGTAGTGCTTTTTTGGCTAAACCATATTTTTTAAAGCACGATATATTTCAAAGTCTGAGATTGTTTAACTGTGTGAATTAATGTTAATTTTTAGTGTTCTATTTATTTTTAATGAACTATTGAACTTATTATTATGTGCCTATTTGGATCTATTGTCTAAACACATCTAGATTGGTTTTTCGTCTGCCTCTCTATCACAATTTTCATCACTAGAATCCCATTTTTGTTCAAAACGCGTTTTACAATTTTGTTTGATTCGATTATGCTAGTCTAATGTGAGGGTAGTAGCCGCCTATTTTCGTGATACCTATAACTATCTGGGGAATGCACCTAGTCCGGAGTCTATTGTATGAATGATCATTTCCAGAGTAGTACTGTGGACGCGGTAGATTCCCAGTCGTCTCTCTGGCATCGTCTGTAAGTCTTCCATCTCTTAGCACCACACTACAACTCGTCTAAGAGACTTGTCAAGATATTGGCTATATTCAGTAAAATATTATAATATTTATATTATAATGTTACTTCGTAAGCAGGTGTGATAGTGAGTATTATTATAACAAGTTTAAAATAGCGAAAGTGTTTTAAGTTTTCCTTTAAGCATACTCCTTAATAGCCAAAAATACAAAAACTGCCGATTTACATCTTTAGAATTTCATCTCAATCATAATAGCAATTTTTCATCGGATAATACTGCAGTATTATTATGTATAGATTTCAAGGTTATGGAGCTATTAAGTATTAACTAACACTGCTGAAGATGGTATGTAATATGAAAGTCTCAGCTTTAAGTTTATCTAACCCACAAATAATAATCAGAGACTTCTCTCTTTGACGAGTTGTTGTATGATTCTAAGGATTGCAAGACTCTTTGACGATGCCGACTAAGATTTTGGTAAAACGCCTAGGAATTTACTAGGTCCACGGTCCAAAGTTGGATGTTGTCATGTAGAAAATGGACTCCGGACTAGATACGTTCCTCTAAGTCTTCATAACAATATGACCAAGTTGCGAATACAAGGTCAGACAACTTCTGAACTTTCTTTTTTATCGACAAATAGCGAAGGCATAATTCATATAAAACAATTTTGAAGTATAATTTTGGAGTAAATGTGTATATGATTTTCGCCGGGCTCTGTAGTCTAAGAATCGCTTACCAAATTTATAAATAAAGCCATTATATTTTGCTATAGCGTTGGAAGGTTTGTGCCAATAATAAAAAGCCAATTTGGAAGGATATTATGATCCTAAAAATAGGAGAAAAAATATAAACACACTTAAGGGTTTAATTTTGCATAAATTGAGAAAATATTATGCAGATATCAAGTTAAATCGTGTTCACTTATCCCGTCTCAATAATTTTCTCCTTACGTTGCTCATGAGATTTGTAATCTTTGGAGCATTCGCCTTTCGGCATTTTTATAGCTCTCGACCTGTTAAAACCTCGGCTCACAGCACAAATACTGGAGAAAAGATTCTGCCGGTGAAAGGTGGCATAGTCCACCGTAACGGTGGAACGATTGAAACGATGGAATGCCGATGAAATGAGCAAAGATATGGGCCCGGAAGGAGAGGACACGCATCCCTCATCAATGTAGATAGAGCCAAACAACATCAGCAGACACTTGTGACTCCGACAAGAATTGGGGAAATCGAGCGTGTAGTGTCCCGATCAAGGAATTGGAAACGGACAGACGATAAACTTTGGCGGAATAGATACAGACTGCCATTGGAATGACAGACTGAGAGGCATGGAGAAGACAATATTCTAATGGATGTGAAAATTGACTCTGCCAGCGTGGGGTCAGGATAGAATTTTGCCATAAAGATTGGGCTTGCGTAGTTCCTACCTCCTCACAAGTAACATTTTCATCACCGGCGAGTGTTTTACTGTTCTCTGTGCTCGGTATTTCTCATGTCCTCATGTATGGAGGTTCCTGTTGACTTATCACTATAATGTATGGACAGACAGGGTATGCGGTGAATAATTGTGAAAAACCGAGGAAGCTAGAAAGACTGGGCTTTGAATAATCTCTTAATAGATTGATTATCGAGTACCTATCATTTCACTCGAATAAGCAAATGGAAGGGATTCGTGATTTGGCCTCAACTGGGACCTGCGAGGTTAGAGCTGTTCAAATAGGTCCTCGGCGCAATGCCTCTCGACCTCGATGAATCCTTCGTGAGCCTTTGTCCTTCATTTGACGGACATAGTCAG